TATGTGTATACTTCATATGTAGTAGGTAAGAAAAGTGTGCAATAAAAAATAACGAAATGGCAAGTAACTCAAAGTCTGTAACTCCACATTTCACCATTTTCAACATTTTCGGTTTATCGCGTATAGTTTTTGAAGCATTTAATTTTAAGAACTTTTTAAGTATGTATCGTATTCTACAAACAATTACGAATAATTTGACAACTTGGAAAGAGGTGTGCTTTCAGAATAAACCATGTTTTAAAGATAAAATATTCTGCGATCTCGAGCGTAATTTTTATTCCAAAAATATCTTATTTGAAGGAACATTTGGAAAATACGTCGAAACGATCTAAATATTTTTATAACTAATAGTCCTTATAACGTTGTATATACCTGTAAAATGCTTCAAAAAAATGTTCTCTAGAAGTGTGCGAAAACGCCGATTTAGTAATTTTAATTATTTTCCTTCTTATAGTCAGAATATTTCGAGCGTGGTATCAAATCATATTTTTTTCGACAAAGGTTCTGATAGTTGCTCTTACTTAATTGGAGCCTTTTAAATTCAATCGCGTCCCCAGTTTTTCCCGATTGTCTCCAGTTTTGGAGATAGCGGTACTTGAAACTTTGCTTAAATTTTAACTATTTTATAAAAAAACTCCCTCCGTTTTGAAGATATTTTACTACAATTATGCACACGCTTGTATTTTAACATTTCCTTCACCATCTCATAAAATCATCGAAATCGGTTTACTCTAAAATATAGCTCCCATACAACTGATTGACCAGAGACGTTGTTTTGCGTTATAACTCCTCCAATTAAGCATGAAAAAATTTAGTATAGGTTCACTTTAACATATAGCACGCATACAATTTATTATTCAGATATGAAATTAGAGTTATAGCGCAAAAACACATATCTGAGTAATCAGTTGTATTGGAGCTATACGTTAAAGTGCAACCATTTCGATAATTTTAAGGAATAATTAAGGTAATATTGAAAAAGCGTTATGTGCAAAAGTTTAGTAAAATAACTTCAAAACTGATGGAGTAATTTATAAAATAGTTAAAATTTAATCAAATCTTCAAATACCGTTATTTCGAATACCGGAGCCAATCTGGTAAAACGGGAGATGCCATTGAATTAAGAACGTCCCAATTAAGTGAGTTCAACTTTCAAAATCTTTGCTCAAATTTTACAACTTGAACAACGTAATTTGAACCCAGCTTATTCTTTCGTTTTCTATTTCATGTTTATTCCTCGTCTAACTTTTGAAGCACTTGATGAAAATGAATTACACTTATATTAATCGATTCATTAAGAGAGTACGAATAAAATTATATATAAAACATAGGTGTTTTCACAAATTTAAAAATAAAAATTTTTTTTTGGAGAGTGTACCTATTTTTTAGATTTGCCCATATAAGTTGGCCTTGCTATCATCCTCATATGTTCATCAGAGTATATCAACGAAGGACGAGTTAATACAAGGAGATAGCGAGAGCACAAAAGTACTCTAGAAAATTACACGCACAATGACAAACACGAACAAATGTACAACAAACACATAATTTTTGACAATCAGTACAGTTGGTATTTATATCAACGAGCAGCTTATTAGATTTGTTTTCGTTTGTCGAAAATGTATGTAAAAAAATAAGGTCACATTTTTAATGCCGCCAGCCCCTAGGATTGTTCTATACCAAAAAAAATTATACCCCTATTTTTTTATTTTGAAATTAAAAAAAAAATTAGGATGTGCTCAAAGCGCTCAAAGTTTTCAATGTATTTTATATGGGAAAAAACAACTTTTCGTAGAAATGGTGTAAAATTCTTGAAAACCAATATTTTTCGATCGGTAAACTTTCCTTATCTTCAGGAGATTACCGGTAATAATACCCAATTGTTTCTTTAGCAATTTTTTCATGGTGACTATATTTTATTGGTCCTTGAAAATGCAATGGGGGGACCAATAAAAAATCTTTAATCATAAAAAATGGTCAAATTAACAATTGGATATCAATATTTGAAGTCTCCTGAAGAGAACCACAGTTTTACGATTGAAAAATATTGATTTTTAAGAGTTTTATGCCATTTTTACGAAAATTGGTTTTTTCCCCATATAAGATACATGGAAAACTTTGAGCGCTGTGAGCACTCCCTAAATATTTTTTGATTTCAAAATAAAAAAATAGGGGTATATTTTTTTCGATATAGAGCAATCCTAGGGCGTGCCGGGATTAAAACTCCGACTTAATTTTTTTGGACCACTTTAATGTGCATATATACATGTACACAAATATATTTACGTACATACACAAACATATGTACATATATACAAATATATATACAACCATTCAAACATATGTACATACATGAAAACATTGCTGTCCATAAGTACATACAAGCTAAGGTCTGCTACCAGCTTTACATTCCTATGCAAATTCTGAAAGAATATTTTCGATGCAAAACTTTATTAAAACAAAATGTCAAAATCAGCTTCATATAGAAACAAAGTATTTGTTAATTAAAACAAGAGACAAATATAATAACTTTACGGCACTCACACATTGATAAGATTCAACTATTTATGTATGTTATTTTATTTTTTTTAATTTTATTTAAAAGAATGTAATTTGTCCTTAACAAAAACTGTATAAATCCAAGTTTAAATCTTTGTGCAACATTAAAAAAAAAATCGACAAGCTTTCGTAAAAATTTCGAGGTATTCAATTTTAGTAAAGTAATTGCAAGCTTAAAGTAGCTGGGACTTACCGCTGATTTTTGGCAATTCTTTTTCTTTTTTTGTTGACGATGTCAGTCATTTTACAACGCTTTTATCAACTTGCAATGTTGTGTTCCAGAAACTTTCAATGTTGTGTTCCAGAAGCTTTCAATGTTGTGTGTCCGACACCATAAAGCAAAGCTTTGAAAAGCTCCTATAAAAAAGCATAGTGAATAGGGCGAGGTAGAGACATCTAGATGTCGCCCTATGTACTACGTTTGCTACACCGGAAATAGACGACACGCCATTCTTTAAATAAAATAAATTGGTGCTCGTTTGTATGTACATACATATGTAAATGCATGCGTGTGCACCTTTCTATTAATATCGTTGAATTATTTTAATATCTATTGCAAACTTTTATTCAGACAGGACTAAAAAGTAGAAAATAAATAATATAAAAAAAACTTTTTAATATACAACGCTTTTATAAATGGACTAAAAAGTAGAAAATAATACTTCTCAGTCCCATAGAATTTGTTTTGATATCTTTTGATTTTGAAATTTTAGCAAAAGTCATTATAAACAATCTATGAAATTGAAAATGAAAA